CCCCCAGCCAGGATGCTTTAAGAGGGGAGGACTTCAGCTCCCAGAATTCCCAAGCCAGGATGCTTTAACAGGGGTGGGCTTCCACTCCCAGAATTCCCCAGCCAGGATGTTTTAAGAGAGGTGGACCTCTACTCCCAGAATTCCCCAGCCAGGATGCTTTAAGAGGGGAGGACTTCCACTCCCAGAATTCCCCAACTAGAATGCTTTAAGAGGGAAGGACTTCCACTCCCAGAATCCCCCAGCCAGCCTGCTTTAAGATGGGTGGACTTCCACTCCCAGAATTCCCCAATTAGAATGCTTTAAGAGGGGAGGGCTTCCACTCCCAGAATTCCCCAACTAGAATGCTTTAAGAGGGGTGGACTTCCACTCCCAGAATAGCCCAGCCAGCCAGGGGAATTGAAGTCCACAAATCTTAAAGTTGCCAAGATTGGACACCCCTGGTCTAGATCTTCTATATTTCATTTCTCAGCTTTGTGTCCTTTACCAAGAGATGACACAAATGTTGAAATGCACAGAACCCAGGTCTTTCTCTCAAGGCTTCCCTCCTCTCTGGAGTAACCTCCCTCCCCAGGTACAGTCCTGTAGCCCACTGGGCATCTATCAGTAGTATGATTTATATTTTAGCATTTTATGTAAGAGATTATCATGAGATAAAGGTTTGGAGGTTTTGCTGAGATCCAGGTAAACTATGTCTACAGCCTTCTTTCTATCTACTAAATTAAGAATTCTACTAAAATTGTTGAAGTCAGTCTCGTGTGATTTGCTTGCAACGATGCCACACTCCTGTGAATTTTAGCAGGGCTTTCACTCACATTATGTCAACTCATAAAACATTTCTATGCCTGTTTTACAGTTGCCATGCACAGAGGGAGGGGAGAGAAATTTAAAAGAGTAGTGAAGCAGTTTAAAACCGAAAGTGCATTCCATTCTTATCTTGCAAAGATTATAACCAAGCTACCGGAATTTCCTAATTGGAGAACATGATTGATGACTCTTGGCTATGAAAGTGTGTAGAATAAGAATTATGGTACACCCAGAGGGGTGGGGGGAAACCAGGGTCAAAGGTGACAGTGAATTATGTGTCTCAGCATTGGCTTTATGCAGGTCATGCCGACATGCTCACTCCTAATAAATCCTTTGACGTTTTTGAAGCTTGGCTCGAGGCTCATTATTTAATTAGGGGCAACTGCCGGAATCCTGACACATTATTTAAATAAAATACGTCAATACAATTCCATCAGACTTTGGAAACATATTCTTATTTTGGATTGATACTGCTATTAGTTTGCTTAAATGTTTTATCCTTTTTTCTTGGAGTTCAGTACAGGTAGTCCTAGACATACATCAGTTTGTTTAGTGACTGTTCAAAGTTACAACGGTTTTGTCTTATCACCATTTCACAGATGACTTTTGCAGCATCCTTAGGATCACGTGAACAAAATTGACAAGCTTAGCAACTGACTCATATTTATTACCGTTGCTGTGTCCCAAGGTCCCTTGTGATTCCCTTTTGTGACCCTCTGACAGGCAAAGTCAATGAGGCAGCCAGATTCACTTACTAACGTATCAACTGCAGTGATTCCCTTAACAACTATGGCAAGAAAAGTCATAAGCTGGGTCAAAACTCACTTAACAACGTACATTTGGGGCTCAATTGTGGTTGTAAGTTGAGGACTACCTGTAGTATTCTCCTTTTTTTGAGAGAGAGAGAGTTCGGTTGGACTTACAGAAAGAGACTAACTCAAATTCACCTCCATTACCAAAAGCATCCATTTGTTTAAAAATAGTTACCTCACCCTTTAGAGGCCAGTAATAAGCAGTGCCTGTGTAGATGAACATGAAAATCAGGTGGAGGAATAAACTGAAGAAAAACCTTTTTCTTATGAAGGATTCCCACTTGTGTTGAAGTAGCTGGTTCAAAGGCTCCAGGGCCACCATTTTGTACCGGTTCTGTAGAGGGGAAATGTCATAGAATTGTGGAGTTACTGGTGTCCAGATGGAGTCAGAGACACTGACACAAACTTGTCGTTTTATATAAATAAATATATCTTGCAACTATATATACAGCAAACAAGGCAGTCAGGTAAACAGGAGCATCATGAGGTAAATGGACGCAGCAGGAGCATTGTGAGGTAATAGTGGTGAATATCTGTAGCTCGGGAGTAGGAGGAAGGAGAAAGTTCGTTTTC